TGGCGTGTTTCTCTTATTATCTTCTATTGCCATAAATGGTTGCTCCTCTGCCATGTGCCACCCTACACCCAGCCGATTACAGACTGAAACCTCCACAAACTGAGCTAAACAAAGCTTTCTTGCTTTAACTTTAGGTGTTGGGTATTTTGTCTCAGTAATAAGAAAAGTAACTAAGATGGAATTTGGTACCAAGAAGAGGGATCATTTCTGTGACATTACCTGACTATGTGGTTCAGAAGCCTTTGGAACTGGTTTGTGGGAAAATAAAGAGTTAGGAAAGGTTCAGGGATGCTACCTGAAAAAGTAGAGCTGGAATCCCTTAGGCTGTATGGTATGGGAAATTCTTATCAGAGCTCTGAAGACCAGAAGGCTGACAGAAATCCTGCCAGTAAAGACCAGGCTGAGAAGGTTTCTGCTGAGGAGGACTACATTGATTGTTAGGCTCCAGATGATGTGCGTTATGGCTTAGCAGAAAGTTTGCCTGCATTTTGCTTGTGTTCAGAGACTTTTAACTTTAGACTGAGATTAAAGGTAGCAGAATAATTAATCTTAGAGAAGCAATTTTAAGGCAGCCTAATGTTAAGGTTGGAGTTAGCCAGTCAATGTTGAAAATCAAGAACAAAGAGCCTAGCAGAATGACTTAAAGTGTTATGAGTTTAGCCAGAAAGGACAGCTCTGGTAAAATTGTGGACTGCAAAGAAGGGAGTAGAGGAGATCTTGCTTGCTGAGAAGGAACAGGAGAATAGAAAAGATACCCTGGGAGTATCACAAGCAGCAGCAGGACTCCGTGGAGGAAGGAGGATCAAGGACAAAAGTTTCCTCCAACCCCTAGGTCCACTGTGGGAGGAGGAAGAGTGCTTTATTCTTTTTTGAAATTCTGTATCATTTCTGTTTTTTCTTTAAAAAATAAAATAAATGTACAAAGAAGAAGAAGAAGGCGACAACGACAATGAAGAAGGACTTCACCCTTTGTAATCTCAAAATTGGAAAAGTGAAAGATCCAAAATGATGGTAGCCTAGAGAATTTGGGCCTCAGAATTGGATTGAGAGTGCCCAGATATCCTGGGAACAGTCAAGAGAGAAGCCTGGCTAATGCTCTGACTCGTAGCAAACCTTTATAGCATCTATGTAGTGCCGGTTTTAGGTACATGCAGGTGGAAGAGTTTTGGGGTCCAGAAGGTTTTCACCTAGACTTTAGAAGGACTGAGAGGCCAGGCAGTATGTCCCTGAGAGGGCAGCATGTGAAGCTGTGAGTGTGAAGCCAAAGGTGCTGTGAAGACCCCAGAAGTTTACAGAAGCCAAGAATGTGGCTGATCTGAGAAAAACTCTAAGGAGGAAGTAGAACGGGCCCAAGAGAGAAGCCATGGGAGCTACAACCACTGGAAGTGCCATAGGGGCAGAGCCACCCAAGCCATATAAAGTTCACATTTTGCCACAAATTGCCTTGGATGCTACCCATGGAACTACAGGACTTAGTGTTTGCCCTGCTGGACTTTGGAATTACTTTGATTCCATTCCTTTGTATCCCCCTGTATGTAATTTCTGGAATGGAAGTCTCTACCTTGTGCCACCAAATGTTGAAAGTGTTTAACTTGCTTTGTATAAGGACTCACAACTGAGAGTTTGCCTTACATCTCAGAAGAGACTTGGGACTTGGAATTTTCAGCAATGTTGAAACTGTTAGGACTCTGGCAACTCTTAGAGATAGACTAAATAAATGTCTTTTGCATAAAGGAATGTACAAGAGTCTTTGTGAGGCCAAACGAAGAATGTTATGTTTTGTGTCTAGATATCCTCCTGAAGCCTAATGCAGTCATGGGAGGTGAGCTTTTCAGAGGTATATGAATCTAGTTTGTGACTGTTTCACAGTCCAATGCTGGATATAAGTACCACACCCACCACAGGTGGGTAAGAGAAAGAGGCTCATTTCTCCTCCTCTCCTCTTTCACTTGCTTTTGCTATCTTCTGCCGCCACAAATAGTTGCTCCTCTGCAATGTGTCACCCTGCCTTGGGCCCAGGCAATTATGCATTGATACTACCACAAACTGTGAGCTAAATACGTCTTTCCTGCTTTGAGTATTCTGCCTCAGCAATGAGAAAAATAACTAAGACACAGAACTAGAAAAAACAGTCCTAACATTCATATGGAATCAGATGAGACCCAGAACAACAAAAGCGAATTTGAGCAACAAAGTAGAGAATGGAAAAAATATTTGCCAGCCACTCCTCAGATGGAGGACAAATATTTATAATGTATAAAGAACTTAAAAAATAAATATACCTGAAATTAAAGACCCAGTCAAGAAATAGGCAAGAGAAATGAACAGACACTTACAGAGGATGAAATATAAATGGTCATCTCTGGCCATTAAAGAAATGCAAACTAAAACAGTGCTAAGATTCCATCTTACTTTGGAAAAAATAATCATCATTAAGAAATCAAAAATAACAAATACTGGAATGCTTATGATGAAAGAAGAAACCTCTTTCATTGTTAATGGGAATGTAACTAGTGTAAATATGATGGAAATCAGTATGAAGATTTCTCGAAGAGCTGAAATTGGAAATTCCATATGACCCTGCTATCCTCCTTTGAAGTATATTCCCCAAGGAGTTTAAGACATCATACTGTAGCAATACATACACACCAACATTGTGCAACAATTTGTAATAACTAAATCCTAGAAGCAGCCTGCATACCCATCAACAGATGACTGGATAAAGAAAATGTGATTATATATATATATATATATATATATATATATATATGATTTTATATATATATATGTATTCATATATATATATATATGAATACAACTCAATTATAAAGAAGGACAAATTTGAGACCTATGTAGGAAAATGGATATATCTGAAAAATATAACGTTGAGTGAAAAAAATGAAACACACAAGCTTAAATATCACATGGTATCTCCTGAGTAAGGCAAAGTACAAACAAAGAGAATAATAAGGATGAATAAAGGGGACACAGGAATAGATCTATAGCAATAGGGAACTAGTCCAAGGAAACAAGGCAAAAAGTGCCATAAAGATATGGCATATACAGGAACCTAATACTTCAATGAATGTAAAAATTATACCCAAAATATCAGCTAAGATTAATCATATCAACAAGAATGAAGCCAAGTGTGTTGGTGCATTCTTATTATCCCAGAACTCAGGAGGCTGAGACAGGAGAATCACTATGAGTTTGAGGCCAGCCAGGGCTGCAAAATGAGTTGAAGACTAGCCTTAACTGCATGGCGAAACCCTGTCTCAAAAAGAGAGAGAGAAAAAAAATGAGAATGAATATCAGGATAAAGAAATTAGAGGAAGGGGCTGGGGATTTAGCTCAGTGGCATAAGTGCCTACCTTGCAAGCAGGCAGTCATGAGTTCGATACCCAGTACTGATAAAAAAGAAAAAGAAATTAGAGGAGAAGAGAGGGAGGTACTAAAGAAGGATAAAGGGATTAAAAGAAATAAGCTATAGTATACACATGGATCCATCCCCAAAGATGGCTGTAAACTGCAAGTACTGCAAACATGGACTAATAAAATTTTAAAAAGTTTAAAGCCAAGCATGGTGGCTCGCACCTGTAATCTCAATACTTGGAATACTTGGAAGGAGGATTGCCATGAGTTCAATGTCAATCTGGACTACATAGTGAGTTCAAGGCCAGCCTAAACTACATAGCAAGATCCTGTCTCAAAAAAAAAGTTAAAAAAAAATAAAAAGCTACCTGGGCATGGTGGCATTCATACCTGTAATCCTAGCATTTGGGAGGCTGAGGCAGGAGGATCACAATGAATTTCATGAAGCCTAAATGACACAATGACTTTAAGGCCAGCCTGAGCTAAATAGGGAAACCCTGTTTCAAAACAAACAAATAGACAATAAAACAAACAAAAAAAACTATAACATATCTTGGGCTAAACATTGTCAAAAAAGTATAATAAAGTTGAAAAAAATTTTTAAAAATAAGCAAAATTTATCCTGCAAACATGCACCAATAAAATTTTAAATAGCAACAATAAAATTAATACAGCAATCATATATAACAGTAATATTATAATACATATTATAAAAAACAACATATATGCTAAAATTCTTTGACATAAAAGTTTTTAAATTTATAAAAACAAACAATGATATAAAACTTGGAATATATAAGAAAAGAAAAAGAAGACAAAGTACAGCTTAATGAGGGTTAACAGGTATTCATAATAATAGGTCTGTATGTGGACTGATAATAATAAACATGAAAAAACAATTAACACAAATATATACAGCTGATATCCTTTAAAAAGAAGAGAATAGACTGACTCCATACTTAAAAATTTTTCTCATGCTTGTTCAAATGGTAGTACTAACTGATCCATAAAGAGATATTTTGTCCTGGGATATATTAAACAAAGATACATTATTAACATGTATTCACACCCAAACAAAACATAGCTCTCTAGAATGTCAGCTTACAGAACATCACTACCCACAAGGCAAGCGTGTGAAAACAGAAAATAATCTAGAGATTCATTACAATGAACAAGCAAATTCTAAAACAATTATTTCCAAACAAAATTTTATAGCTTCCCCCATTCTCTGCAGAAATATTTTTCTCAATGTACTTCAAATCTATGGATTTTATAATTAAGAAAACATTCACATTGTATGAGAACACATTTAAAAATATCCTCATCACACATTTTTAACTTTGCAGAAAGAAAGTGCTTTTGAGGAGCATGTTTTTCTAAATAAGTTATTGAAAGACAGTCACAATCACTTATTTTGGTATTGTCTATGGCTGTTCTGGTGCCACAACGTCAGAGTGGAGAATCTGATACAGACAGACTGGCCCACAAGTCAGAAATAAGTACTCTCTGGCCTTTTACAGAGAAAAATTTGTTGACTATTACACTAGACAATCCAAAGGTATGGTTTACATAAAATGGGTAACTATTCTCGTATCTGTAACTAAGAATTTCTATCTGCTGGCTTTTACCTTGAAGATTTTCCTTCTGCAGCAAAGAGTTGAGTTGGTTCATACAGTTGAAGACAAGAATGGACTCTACAGATGCTCTATATCGCCCAGAATGCTCAGTGCTCACATGCAGCCCCAGGCTTTGAATTCCAGGTCCAGTCTCCAGGCCCTCTAGGAGGGGGAGCTCTTGAGGAAGGTAGCTCGTGACCATACTGTGAAGTGTTGGCTCTGTGGAATCTGGATCTAATAACCAGCATGCTACCTGAATGGGACAGCAATCAGGATATTTTCTTGATGTGTTCTAAGGATTTTGTGTAAAAATTCATTTATATCACTCATTTTTACTTAACATTTATTCAATGATTTTCCCAGGAAAAGAGAAGGAAAGCATAATAATAACAGGACATTAGTACCAATAACAGCAGTGGACTTTATTTTTCCATCACTGAAATGCTCCTCGATACCCCACTTCTGAAAGCTTAAAAACCAAATGACTCCAACTGAAACCATATGTCTGAAAATAAAGATGAGGAGTAGGCTGATTTGGCCTAGCAACTATAATAACGATGAGCATTTTTGGTTTTAGGTTTATATAGCTCTTTCAACAGCGGAAGTGAAGCATAAATGTTTTACCATTAAAAGTCCATATCCAGGTTTTCACAAAGTCTCTGTATGTTCTCTTCTGGATAGGAGTCTGTTACAAGGACTGTGTAACTGGTCGCCTGATTGCTATTTTCAGCTGACTTGTAACTTCTTGCTAGTTTTTTTTTTTTTTTTTGTACCGGGAATTGAACTCACAACCTTGCGTATGCCAGGCAGGCGCTTATGCCACTGAACTAAATCCCTGGCCCAGGGACTTGTAGCTTCTAATACTAGATACAACAGACCATGAACTAGATTTGTAAAGCAGAAATCTAAGATTTGCTAATACTTCTGAAAAATTACTATATGACTCAGTTGCTTCTTCTGTAGCCTAATTAGGAAGTGTTATGTGGTGTTTTGAATGAGAGTCTCATGTGAATGTCAGCTAATTATAAGAATGAGACATTAAAAATAAATAATCTTTTACCAAAAGTGTGATTAATAAAACCAAATATGATATATTTCAAGTAGTTTGAAAAGAAGATGCTATATAAATCTAGGATGTTACTATAGTTTTAATGAGAGGCTCATATAGAAATTCTTGTTTTATATTCCAAAATTAAGTGATACTCTTTTATATATAGAAGACAGTTTGAAACCTTTGTGAAAGAAAGGAAAAAAGAAAGAACAGAACAGAAAAGAAAAGAAAAAACATCATGGCTGAGCACATTGCCTAGCCTGCATAAGACGGTAGGTTTAGACCAGTGTCACAAAAAGAAAGAAAAGGAAGCAAAAACCCAACCAAAAGATCATGCTATTGACTATACAGTGCTGGTAACAACTATCAAACTGTAATTTTTCAATTCTAAAGTAACTATATTTCTAATATTTCCAATGCCAAAAGATGGAGAAGATGTATCATTAAAGATTATATTATAAATAAATGTCTTCTGAAATGCATTATAGAGTCAATTGTATATTATGTAACATTCCCCCTACTTTTGTTAATTCAGAATTAAAACTGAGTATATCATACTTTGCTGAGACACAGGGACATTCTCAGTGACTACTACCATAATGTGCTCTGTGTCCCCTAACATAACCCTTTTGACATCTTATAATCATGTACCTTTCCTATTTTCTGCCTCCATTTTCATAGTTATTTGGAAAATCCTATCATAGACCTAAATTGAATGGTTGTCTAATGTAGTAAGGGGTAAAAAATTATAATTTATGGCCAAAATTGATTTTTAAAAAGTCTAAGGGAAGACATGAACCTTAGGGCTTCAAATTTGTGATAACTCTGTTTTTATCTACACAGAGATATTTGGTACATAATATTGCATTGTGGGTGGATGAGATTACTCGATAAGGCATGACTTCTCTAAACAATTTAAATTGCATTATTTAAGCTAACTAAATACCAAGTAACTTAAGAATTAACCTAAAACCTAACAATGTTTAAGTTTATAAAAATTAAGCAAGACATAGAACCTTAGGGTCTTCATAATTTTGCTCCAGGGAGATGCCACAAGACTGAAGAAGAATTTTATAGCTCTGGATGAAATCATACATGATAACGGAACGGTCCTTATCAGATTCCTTTTGCAAGCAGGATCGAAGGTGCCACATCCTTTCTCTCACAGTCAGGGCTGGATCCAGAGAAGGTGGGGCCAAACTGGCACTAATTTCTTGGGACAAAAAAAATCTTAATGCAAAAATCACATGATTCATTTGAAGTGGCAATTGTAAGATACACACACACACACACACACACACACACACACTCGCGCGCGCGCTCAGAGGTTAAGGATCCAATGCTAACTGACCACTAATTCAGCATAACCTTGTCCCAGTCATATTGACTATCTTGATGAAGTACTTCGTAATCAAAACACTAGGTTTGGGCTACAAGTTTTTTTTTTTTTTTTTTTGGAGGGGGGCTACAAGTTTTATGATGTTCTATTTAATTACATGGGAGAAAATTCTAAACTATCAAGACTTCAAAAATAAAATTATGTTTCTCAGAAAGAGACGTTAAAGACAGGTATTTTGAAGTTAATTTTATATTATTATTGTTTTGAGACAGAGTTTCTCTATATAGTTTAGGCTAGCTTCATATTCACTATGTAATTCAGGCAAGCCTTAAACTCACAGTGATTCTGATGAGTCAGCCTTGCTAGTTCTGGCATTACAGGCCTGTGCTACCAGGCTTGGCACTGAAGTGAATTTTCAAAGGAGATGTTACAATGTTATATCAAAAATAAAAGTAGATCAAGCAACTACCAAGCCCAACAAACTTTCTTAACAAACAACTGAAAACACTTCATCCTTACTAAGGAACAGACACATGAAAACCTTACTAATTTTGCTCCTGAAAGCCTTATTAATTTTGCTCCTGTACAAAACCAAGCAAACTGAGTGTCAACCAGCCATAATCAGATTACAAAGTATTTCCAGATCTTATGCTTTCAACTCCAGAAACTTCTACAAAGGCTATGTGATTCAGCAACACTGTCTCTGGATGAGATCCAGATGCAATCAAAGGGAGGAAAAAGACTGAAAAGAAATAACTGTTGATCCACTGCTAATCGCTGGATATGTGACAGGAAAAGGAAGTGAAAGGAAGCATTTCGTAAACCAGTCTAGGATACAGCTAAGTGGTAGAGCACTTGCCTAGCAGGTGCAAGTTGCTGGATTCAAGACCTGACAATGAATATACACACTAAGTGCTATGCTGCATTGTATCAGGGTATTATCCTCAATGAACAGAATTATCCTAATAAATGTTTCATGAATTACATTGTGATTTGTCCAAATTCTGATTACTTACCAGAATGCTTCTGCTCCTTCTGCAGTGAAATATAATATGCATCTCTTCCACCCCAGCATATTGCCAGTCCAACCACTAGTATGTCATCCGAGCCTTGAACAGGAAATCTATCATCGCTAACCAGGGTTTCCTGAGGTAAGTGAGCTAAGTGAACCAAAAGTGGTAAAGAATTCTTAAGACATTAAAAGAATTGTTAAAATAATGATTTTTAAACAACTACTTGATAGGCACATCTTGCAGATTGAAATATGCATTATTAAGATAGTTGTTTGATATATATAAGGTATTTCTGGGCTTCCCATCAATTAAGATACCTGTCATAAAAAATCTAAAGATTTCTTAAAGTAGATCTATAATAATGATGGAATGATTACCAACTAAATGAAAAGAGCTGTACTATAAGTTTCTACAATTCAAACAAAAATAAAGAGGACAGGTTTACTGTGTACACACTTGTAAACCACACTTGAGAGGCAGAGGCCACAAGACTGCTGTGAGTTCAAGGCCAGTCTGGGCCACACAGTAAACTTAAGACAGCATGAACTACATAGTAAGACCTCGGCTCAAAAAAAAAAAAAAAAGACAGAGAGAAAAAGAAAGAGGACTAGCACACCATAAAAACATAGTAGCATATACAGCAATTCTTAAGAAATAAGAAACTGAGTCCTACACCTTAATGAAGAACTATGACTATGATTTTAATCATATAAGAATATAACTATGATTTTAATATCTAGAGTCAACATTTTTATCTAAAATAATAAATCCTCATTTTTACAAAAGTCAATAACCAATTTGTTTCACTTAGAAATATATCCTTACTACCCAAAAAATAACTGGCATGTAAGAACTCAATACACATTTGTTAAATTTAAATCAATGTTTTCGTTCCTGTAGTTTCTAGTAAACCATGGTTTTATACATAATGTGCTCAGTATTATGTGATGGGTAAAAAATGGAAAATGCTATTTGACCTTAAAAGTTATACCTTATTAACTGGTATATTCCATGAATTGAAGATCAAATACTTACAATTTTATAAAAATACTCATTCATACAGAGATTTTAAGTTAAATCAATTTCCACAATGGTTTGATGAAGCTTACTAAGGCTGCTCCCCACAACTCAAAACCCAGGTTTCATGCAGTTAGACCAGAATAACATGGCAGTATTTGCCAAAAGGGCCAACCTGCACAAGCTGGGAGAGCTTTGTTAGACTCTGGAGTTAATAGGTCAGCGTGAATACATGATCATCACTAGAGGTCTAAGTTCTACTTCAGATAAATCTTCAACAATGTAGTTAGTGCACATTTGGAAGCAAAATGATCTGCTATGTATTTTTTGTGGTTATGAAAGTAAGTAATGATATTATAACCTAATAGGAAATAATTCATAATAATTAACAATTATATGTCACATTAGAACAATATATAAGCTTAATAGAAATGCCGGATGATATTCAAAATTATCTTAATTTTCATAAATTTGTATTCCAACTAATATAGTTTATATCACATATACCTCATACTGGAGAATAATTAGGAATCTAGCTAGACCAAATAAAAAGCTGTTTTTGAATAGCATTGTATCTAATGTTTAATACTAAAACAGTAAAATCTCATGTCAGTCCACTAGTTTACAGATTAATATCAAAAAATTCTAAAGAACTTTTACCTTGTTTAAATCTTCCACCAATAGTAACAGTTTTAGAGGAGGTCAAACTTTTTATCTTTTCACAGGCCAGTGAGATGGAAAACCGTTTTTTGTACTGCCACTCTTTAACAAATGTCTGAAAGAGAGTCTGGTTACTTGCTACATCAATGATCGCCAAACCTGCTGAACTGCATGAGACTGGAGTTAACTGCAAGCCATCCTCCAACAACTGGAGTGAAAACCTGGTGTCTCCAGCAGGACTGTCATCTTGGAAACCATTCCTGCTCTCTGGACTTAAGCCATGGGTTTTCACACCTGAAGGTGAGCCAAATGAACAACCTTCACCAAGGTGTAAAATATTTCTAGTGCAAGGTTTTACAGAAGTTCCAAGAATCTCTTGAAATACCAGCTTAGAAGCAGATGATGGAATAGGTGTAGGAGGAATGAGACCATTAGCATCTAACACACAGTTTTCTTTACAAGGCAAGAGTGATGGGGTTTCACCATGACTGGCCTTGTTCTCTAGTGCATCCATCTTGCATTTTATTTCATTATTACAGGAGAATGACATGCCATGTAGATGACATGTCTCTGAATTTGAAATCATTTCCCGTCTGTCATTTAACTCAATACTTTTTCCTTTCAAACTAGGTAAGTTTACAGTCGTTAATTGTAGTTTTTCATTTTCTAGTGGACTGGACACTTTATCTAAAATCTGTTGCAATCCTGGACTTAAATCAAAGGATCTCCCCGACCACATGAATGAATTATTTTTCTTTGTCTCAGTTAATTTGGACTTTTGAGCCATTTCATCTTGATCACCAATTACTTCTCCTTGAAGGCGACCATTGTCTTTAATCACTAAACCACCTAGTTCTAATGTTCTAAAAGATACTTCAGTATTATGTTTCTCTTGGACAGAAACTATATCGGCATTGTCCATAGCTTCACGCAACTGAGTAGAATCCATTTCTGAAAACATAACAGATTCATTATTGAAACAAGTTAACTGCTGCTGCTGAATATTTTGATGCTCTTCGATATTTGATGTTTTAGTAGGATCCTCTTGCTGTAGACAAAGAGAATCACTGAGATGGTTTGAAGTTATTTCAGAAGGAAGGAGTTTTTTTGCTTGTCCAGGTGGCTGTTCTTTTACTAGGAAGTCTTCACTGAAACTGTCAAAGAGTAAACTATCACTCATATTCAAACTTGTTTCAAAAGCTAACAGGCAGTCTCCTTCCATACCAGTGGGAGTTCTCTTTGGAGGTACCACAGGTAAGACTGACTTCACAGTCACAGGTGTTTGATAACCTTGAAGAAAACTATTTAATTGAGAGTCAGTAACAGAAATTTCATATCCTTTAAAACAAGGGCCATTTTCCCCTATTAGTACTGGAGAACTAAAAACTGGGCTCCCGGGACTATCGGCCCCATGTTTGGTGGTTTGCTTCTCAGTGACCAGAGTCTTAAGGTCTGAATGAGCTGGACTAGTCACTTCTAGGGGATGTGGCTCACTGGAAGTGACAGGAAACTCTTTATGAAAAGAGGCCAGTGAGTTCTGCTTATCTGACTTCTGTGTATTTCTTGCGGTCAGGCTGGTGTCCTTTGCTCCTTGTTTGGCATTTTCAGTTGCCATCTGTTGAATTATTTTCTCTGACTGAGTATCTAGGTATAAACTATCTTCAAAATCACACGGCACTAAACCTAAATTGATAGCATGGTTATTTTCATTTCTGCTTGCTGCTGTTTTTTCTTGCATTCTAGAAGAATTTACAAAATTTTCATGCTGGCCTCCTGATTTCCCAAATATTTCCGCTGACTGAAGTATTCCACTAGGCACCTCGGTTCTTATATTACTTCCCAATGCTTGAAAATGATTGGATTTATTTTCTTCACTATTAGACTTTACACTTTCACATTTGATAGTAGCAACATTTGCATTTCTATGCAAACAGCTACTGACTACCTCACCGGGCATTTCTTCCTCTGTCATTTTTTTCTGTGTAGCACAAATGTCTGACCGTTTATCACACTGTTGTTTTTCCAGCCACTGGTTCGCTGGATGAGGATCACAGTGTTTCACAGAAAAAGCCTGGTTTTTGGAATCAATTTGTATTTTCACTTCATTTATTTTTTCTATCTCAGGGACAGGCAATCCATTTCCATTTTTACTAACAATACTAGTGGCTTGACAAATCATATTTTGTCTTGGGGATCCTGTGAAAAAATGCTCCATAAAAGAATCATTAGTTATTGTTCTGTTCCTTAAACAATATTGCTCTGTTTGTAATAGGAATGATGTTTTGTTGTTTTTTCCCTCAGCACAAGATACGTCTTTGACAAATGGCTCTGGACTTCTAAATTCCACATTCTCCTCATCAAACGTAAATCGATTTTCATGAACAGGACTAGTTACAGAGCCTTTCATCACAGAGTCTTTCACAGGACTACTGTCCTGGGATTCTTTTTGGCTCTTCTTATGTTTCCAACATAGAAAACTTGTGTTCTTCTGGTCTGAATTGAAATTCAAAGCCGCTTTTTTTGTTTTCTCTAATGAGGTCTGAAGGACTTTCCCAGTACTTGTTTTTCTCTCATTCAGAAAAGTTCTGGACTTCTCTTTTTTTATGCCCAAAGAACCCTGTTTTCTTCCTCTCAAGATGGAATCACTCCTATGCTCCTGATTACTATTCTGGCGCTTACAATGAAAGGAACTTGTGTGCCCGCTGCTTTCCACTGTATTTGGTGAATTGTTGATAGAAGTGTCATTAAATCTCATATTACTTTTGTTCTTTGGCATTAATTGTTTGTGACAACCTGTAGTCTGGAGTACAAATGTGTGTTCCTTGTCTTTTGACTCACTCCTGGTCAGGGAATATGTACCAGCATTTAACGGGGAAGAGGGATCCCACTTCACCCCTATTTCAACTAAGTCCTGCTGCAGAATCATTTTGGCTTCATCCACTATTAAGACTGCCGCTTCTCTCGGAGTTAGTTTTCTGTTGGACACCCAAATTGTTCCCATATTCTGACGTTCTTCAACTGCTTCCTCTTCCTCATCCACTGCCTTTCTGGCACTATACAAGAAAACAGGAAAAGGTAATTAATGTGTTCACTGAGTCTTTCATTCATTCAGAGCAAAGATTCATTAAGCATTCAATCTGAGCTGTACTGGGAACTGAAGAAATAGCACTAAACAAGAGTTACATCTGCCCTCGTGGTACATACATTACAGTGAGAAAATCAAATGTTTAAAGTGCTATGTCAACTGGTGATGAGTTGTATAGAAAAATGAAGCATTAGAAAGAAGCAATGGTTCTGCAACTTTTAAACAGAGTAATAAGGAAAGGCCTTGAGTCTTCAAGTAAAAGCCTTAAAGAAAAAAAAAAGATTGAAGTTTGACCTTAGTCAAACTGACGGATAAATATTAATGTTCCTCGGGTAACATAATAGATGTTAATCATACATATTTAATTAAAATACCAGGAGAAGAAAGGTAAGTTGAAGCAAAAACAAAAACAAAATTTTATGTATGGAAGAAATAACAAGTTGTGAGACTTCTGCTTCTATCCATGATGAAGTAACAGGGACCAACTCAGCCTCTTCTGAACAACTAAAGAACTGTGGTTGGTCACAAAAATGTAACAGCTTCCATGTTTCTCTCTGCTGAGTCACTGACTCTGGGGGACACCAGTGATCGTTAGAAATTTTACAGAGTGGTCTGTGTGGATAACGACTGAGACATGGAGCACCAGCTGGCCAGCATATGCTTGAGTCGTGCTCCAAGCAGAGCAAGTCATGCCCTCAGATGACTCCAGAGCCAGCTAGCCACTTAACCACATCCTTTTGAGACCCCCTACCCAGAATCACCTCAATTCTTCATTTGAGGATATTATGTTATTTACTGTTGTTTTCAAGTATTTTGTTACATAAAATAGTTAACTAATATACCTACTGCATCTATTAAACTTCAGAGATGGGGAGGGGATGGGACCTCAAGTCTACAAGCAAAAAGATCAAATAATTTATATGGTTGAAAGACTCTAACTCCTATCAGACTTTTTAAATTCAGCATATAAGACAAAGCAACAAGGAATAAGTATTTTCAAAAAACTCAACAAAACAATTGAAGGCCAAGAATTTTACATCCAGTAAAGCTGTACTTCAAACATTTAATATTAGAGACAAGCAGTTCTAAATATGTAGGAGCTAGCATGGTGGTACACCTCTGCATTCCCAGCACTCAGAAGGTTCAGGCAGAAGGATTGCAATTTGCAAACCAGCCTGGGCTACAAAGTGAGTTCAAGGCCAGGCCAAACTGCATATCAAGACTGTTTTTAAAAGACAATAAATAAATAAATAAATAAATAAATAAACAAAACATGTAGAAATTTGAGGAACTCTGTTCTTGCAGCCTTCCTCAAGGAATCTCTGGTAGAGGATGAGTTTCAGCCAATTAAAAGATAACTAGGATCAATGGATGGTGGTATACTCCTATGATCCCAGAAGCCTCCTAAACAGGAGTAACACAAATTTGAGACCAGCCTGCGCAATACAGTGACTGAGTGAGATCCTGTCTCAAAAACAAAAGAAAAATTGAAAGTGCTGGAGGTAGGAATATAGTTCAGTGAGAAGGTTTTGGAGTCAATCCCCAGTATTAAAAAGAAAACCAAAAAAGACCTGCAACATTTTAGCAAGAAAACTAAGCTTTTCAACAAATAAAAGTGGGGATTACAAGAAATGAGGCACTGAAATAGTAGAATAGTAATAGAATAGATTATTTTTACTAAAAGACAGAAGGAACATGTCTATATATGTATGAAGGATGAAAGAAAAAAAGGATCTATTAAACATAGTCAATGGTGGCTCACGCCTGTAATCTCAGCACTTGGGAGGCTGAGGTGGGAGGATCGTTGTGAGTTCGAAACCAGTCTGGGCTACAAAGTGAGCTCAAGGCCAGCCTGAACTGCATAGTGAGACCCCGTCTCAAAAAAATAAAAAAAAATAAAAAAAAAGAAAGAAAGAAAAATAAAAAAATTAACATAGTCAATAAGGCAGACTTTGTATAAATATATTCTAAATAGTATACCTTTATTACAGAAAATATATTTAGTTTGTATTGATCATCATTTAGGTCACAAAGAATCAGTGAGTTCCATGTAAAAATGTTAGCAATAACACTTAGATTGTAATGCAATCATGCCAGAGATTATGACCAAAATATACCCTTTTTCAGGGCAATTTTGACTCTCTTACCAAAGCTACCTATTTTGTTCATAATTTCTGGCTTTAGTCAGTAAACAAAGCAAAAGCATTCAATATCTTTATTACTACTCAAGACTGAATTATAAGTATTAGCTAATTTAATAAGGCAAGATAAATCAAATAAAAGTATAAGAACCAGAAAGGGAGAAGTAAAATATCTCTACTGATAGATGATGCAGCAGTTGTCACAGTCACAGCATCCTGTCTGATATCACCAGACAACATATCAATATATCCAGGAAACTCTAAGAGAAATAATGGCAACAGTAACTCAAATAATAAAAGAATTCAGAAAGTAGCAGGATCAAAAACATATAAAAATTAATAGCCTTTATAAATAATAACCATATGGAGACTATTCTAGTTATTTTTCTTATTCTACAACAAAATAGCTGACACAAAAATTTAAAGAAGTAAAGGTTTATTTGGCTCACAGATTGTAGAGGTTTCAGTTCATAGTCGACTGGCTCCAAGGTAAAAGTGTCTGCCAGGAGGCATCACAGAGGAGAACAATCCCCAGGGGAGAGCGACTACCCCTCTTTCTGTCCCTGTATAGCCCATGCAGGCTACTCGCCCTAGGGAAAATGTAGCACTCACATCCTTAATTCCAACCAGAACTATGCCAAACTAATCAGTGAACTGATTTAGAAATCACACACACTTGATACCACCATTATACACATTAAATCCAGCCTCCTCTGAAAAGCCCCATCTATGACCACATGAGGTTTAAGGAGACAACTAGACACAAGCTATAACAATATTATAACAGAACCATCAACTAAAATAACAGTGAAGATCAAATAGAAATAAAATTAACAAGAAATGTGAAAAATCTACCTGAAAAAAATTTTAAAATTCTTGATAAAAACTAAATCAAATGGAGATATAACCTCTTCTTGGATAGGTTGATTCAGTGTTAAATAGGTGTCAGTTCTCCATAAATTAATTTTATAACCCAACCCAAGAAAAATAGCAAAGTACTATAGATTTCATATGGCAAACATTCAAGAATTGCCAGAAAACATACTAAAAATTTTAAGACAGAACTTGCCTACCAAACACTAAAACATTCTATGTATAAAGAACTTATAATTAAAAGCATGGTACTGGCTCATGAATTGACATAAACAATAGTAGGCTAGAGTTCAGAAATCACCCTAAGTATATATGTATATTTAGTATATTTTGAAGATAGGACCTCAAATCACTGAAACAAAGAAAAACTTTGTACTAAGTGGATGAAAGATAAAATCATAACTACACTTCACATTATACATGAAATTAAGTTATAAATGCATCAGGAATCTAAATGGAAACTTACAAAAACTAGAAGAGAATACGTACATGTCTCTAATATCTGTGTAAGAAAGCTTTTCCAACTATGGCTCAATTCAAAGGCAAATAGAAAAAGAGTGGCTAAAAATAAACTGATAAAACATGGGTATGATGGTGCAGGCCTGTAATCTCGGGAGATGAAGCAGGAGGATTGCATTGAGGTTGAGACCAGCCTGAATTATGTAGCAAGACCCTGCCTGAAAAAAAACCTAATAAACTGATAGAAAAAGAATCTTGCCTGTAGAAAAACATGATGAAAATCAACGGTCAGGACCCCCAAGTGGCCTGGAGACACCTGAACTCCACCTCGTGAGGCAAAAGTGCTTGCAGCGATCTCCATCCAGTGGTGCAGTCTCAGGACATCACTTGGAGCCTAGCAGGCATCCCCCATCACCGGAGGACCCCTAGGAAGGTCCCTCCAAGCCTAGCTGAGCCCATCCAGTGATCCCCAAGTGGCCTGGAGCCACTTGGCAAGGCCTAATGACCTCCACTCAACTGGGGAAACTCCCTGCAGTACGGACAGATATTCTCAAACCAAGAAATAACTGAGATCGTGGCTTCAGCTTCCTTAAGGGAATGTAAGAAAATGACAAAAACAAAAGAGCAAAATGCAGTCTCAAACCCAGCCTATCCCAAACAAGCCTAAGAAACATGGACATAGAAGAAATGTAAGCCATACATCTGAAACTCCTGAAATGATAGCAACTGAAGTAAAGAAACAACTCCAGGAACCCATAAAGGAACTCAGATCACAAATAATCTTCAAGGTAAAAGAAGAAATGATAAATGTAATGAAAGAAATGCTGAACATATCTAAAGAAGACATAGTTTAAAAATTAGAGGAACACTGCAAAATGAAGAAAATTTTAAATGAACAATAAAAGATACAAACAGAATTCATGAAACAGAATCAAGGAGATACCCAGGAAATCAAAACTTCCATCGAAAGTTAGCAAAACCACCTCAGTGAAGTGAAGATAGACTTTCGGACCTCAAAGACAAGATTGCAGCTAGTGAACAGGAAAAGAAAGATCTTTTAAAAACAATAAGGAGGGCTGGGGATTTAGCTCAGTGGTATGAGCGTCTCCCTGGCAAGTGCAAGGCTATGACTTCCATACCCAGTACCACAAAAAAAAAAAAAAAGAAAAAAAGAAAAAAAATCAAGGAATCAGGAAATAACAATTCAATAGTTGAAAGATGATGCAAAGAAAAACAGCATAAGATTGATAGGGATAAATCAAAAAGAAAGTGACATAACAAATGATATTAAAAGCCTATTCACAGAAGTGGTAGCCGAAAATTTACCAAATGTGGCAATAGAAACTGACATACAGATAAGTGAAGCATATAGAACTCCAAATAGTCATAACCAAAATAAAATTACACCCAAATATATAATTATCAACATCCCAGAAATTCAACATAAAAACAGAATATTAAAAGCTGTTAGAGGGAAGAGACAGATCATCCATAA